TAAAAACAGAACAATTTTAAATTGTTTTCCTCATACATGTACATGCACTAAAGCATTCATAAATGAACCTTTGTCTTCTGTTAAAGTGTAAATGAAGGTTGTGTTTATTTATTAAATTAATTAATCTCTCACAGAATTGTAGTGGTTACAATATAATAAGTTCTGTATGCCACACTTTATATGTCTTCATGTATCAAAGTGTAGTAGGTGTACATGTAATTTACTATAACTCCCTACTACCTCAACCCCCATAGTGACATTAAATTAGTCTACTGGTATGATTGGTACATGTATAATGTTAGGAACCACATCATTTTTCAAGTTAATTGAGCTCATATACTTTGAATGAATAAAACAGGAGTGTTGACATCTCAGACAACAGAGATTATAGGACTGCAAGACATCAGTTCTTACACTAATTGTTAGTAGTGTTATAGAAAAGAGCTTTATTGCCTTTGGCTGCATGCATAAAATATTGAAATAAAAGGGATTATTGGAGGTTAAAGGTTATGAATGTTAAGCTGTCCTTCCAGCATTAGTATACAATATAACATTATGTGTCACTCTTTTCTTGAGGTAAATATTCACTATGGTCGTATTTATTTATTTATTTATTTATTTATTTATTTATTTATTTATTTATTTATTTATTTATTTATTTATTTATTTATAGTATGTACATGTAAGTGAAAATGCACATTTCTATGTAGTTGTTCTGTTTACCCAGTAAAAATCATTTAAACTCTGCTCAAGCATCATCCATGTACATAACAAAAAAACAAGAGCTGTCTTTGCCCTGCAGGTAGCTGAATGCACTGAGCTCGTATTTCAAGTGTTGAAAAGTTGAGGAGATGGTGTCTCATAATTTCCATACTTATGTGTTTTTTCATTTACATTTCAGACTACTGCTGAATTTGGTCTGCTAAATGTCCGTAATAGTAATGATCCAAATGTTCTTCCCAAAGATTATTGCCTTACATACAACCCCCTTTATCAAGACTTACCAAAAACCATTGAAGAATCAGTAAGTATGAAATAAAATATTGCAAAATTTTAAAATGTTGATCACATTTTCCCTAGATTTATACATGTATGAAAACGCACATCCAAAATTCAGCACTCATAAAATTAATAAGGAAGATGCTCAACTGTAGCCTTGTTTATGAAACGATTTTGTACTTTTCTTTCAGAAATATTATTCTTATTTGAGCTTGCTCCCTGATTTTCTCTGCCATGAACCTGAAAGTCCAGAAAGGTTGGCAGATAAAATAGTCGTGGTCATGAGAGGTAATTGTACTTTCACTGAGAAAGCCACATTAGTTCAGGCTAGTAATGGAAATGCAGTTGTTGTAGCCAGCAAAGATGCTTTGGTAAGTAGTCTTTCCTCTTGCACTATATGTGACTTAATAATTGTTTTTATTTGCAATGCAATTACCACAAACCATTCTCTGGATTTTTTTATGAATATTTATAATTGCCAATAAGTGCAGTGTGTAAGGACATTGTTTCAAAATGTTCCAATGTTATTCTATTGGCCAATAGAAACCCCTCGTTTCAGTTTGAATAATGAAATTTATAAATATTCATTAATATCATGGAAATGGGTTTGTGTGCATTGTAGTATTTGCACGCTGTCAGACTTATAGATTCGACCTCTGTGTGTATGTGTGTGCGTCTATGCGCGTGTCCCGACCTATATCTTAGACATGCCTGAGCAGATTACATTCAAACTTCACACAAACACTTGTACATCATACATAATATCATACATATGCACATCAATTTGTTGACGATCTGATTCAAGATGGACGAATGGCGGCCATTTTTGTGCTGACAAATCTTCAAAATCAAGCATTTATGAATGAATTTTGTTCAAACTTGGTACATACATTGCACATTATTGGGACATTATCGGATTCAAAATGGCTGACTAGCGGCCATTTTGGTTCTCTAGCCGTATCTCTGACATGATTTGACTGATTATGTTCAAATTTTATATAATCATTATACATCATGTTATAGATATACAGATGTATTCAAAATGACTGACCAGTGGCCATTTTGTTTTAATTCTGTTCCAGAGCAATATCTCTCAATATGAACAAGTATTTGTTTGACGATCAGATACAAGATGACTTAATGACAATCATTTTAATGTTAAAATAATTACATAATTAGAGTCTTCTGGATCCATACTTTTGACATGTTTATGTTCTAACTATATTACTTATAAACAAAACTATATATCTTAAATAATAACTAAC